TTCAACAGCCTCTATGTGCTGGGGCCTTGAACCCTCAACCAAAGGCTTGGCCTGGTGCCAACACTGATAATTTCATCTGGGGAAGGTTTAATGGCCTCTTTGAAGTGGGAGTAGTTTTATTTTCCTTATTATTTAAGCAAGCAATCATTTACAGAAGCCAAATAGCAGGGTTAAAATTTCAAACAGCAGTTTTTATATAAGATGAATGCTTCACTATCACTTCTGATAGCAGTTCACAAATGTTAACTTATTTAACTTAAAAAAGAAAGAAAGAAAGAAAGAAAGAAAGAAAGAAAGAAAGAAAGAAAGAAAGAAAGAAAGAAAGAAAGAAGAAAGAAAGAAACTAGTAAAAATGGGTAGCATTACTCATCCCATCTTCAGATGAGGAAACTGAACCCAACCCTGGGACACAACCAGATTCCCAAACTTGGAGAACCAGCTCTCTGAATATGCCACCCAAAGGGAACGATTGAATGCCTCTGGATCCCACACCAGCTTACAGGAGCTCTTCACCTCCCCATCCTCCACCCCCAGCTTTTCAAAGAGCAAGGTCCACATTAAGAGCTTCAGCTTAATGATTTCTGTAGAAATTTTACCAAATCACCCTTTGCAGGTCTGAGCTGTGCATGCAATGATAAAGGGGATTTCACATTCTGGAAAAGTCTGCTGCCTTTAATTTGTTCTGGGGACCAGTCTGCGTGGAGCTCACCTTCCAGGTGAGAACTCATCTCACTGGAAAGAACCACTGCTTTGTGACAACCTCCACCCCCCCTTCTTCCTTTTCTCCTACAACAAATGACCTTGGTGGTTTTAAAGGGCAAGTGTTGAGCTTATTTAGTGATACTTGGACTATGGTAAAGGGAATTTACTATGGTTGAGAGACATCATTTCTGCACCTACTATGTACACAGCAAATGTATGGTGGAAAAATTTTCAGGAGGATTAAGTCAATTCTCCATTCTGAACAAATAAATGTTATGAAGGAATTTTGGAAGCTGGTGGGTTAAAGGAGAGGTAGTAACATTGGCAAGAAAAGATTGTTGGTCTAAGTAACATTAATTTAGCACTTAGTGTAGAGAGATACTATGCAGACATTGTTTTGTTTTACCTTGGGGAAATAGTCTAAAGCTGATAGCTTGTTCCTTGGATAAATGTTAACCAGGAGAGTAAATCAGAGAGGAAATATTCAGACCAAATGTATTGTTCATTTAAATCATGTGTGTGTGTGGGTAATTTAAAAGATTTTATCTATTATATTATGCTCTGACCATAAATGGGCTTTTTTAATTTTAAAATTTTGTTTAGTATATTTGAATATTACTTAAGATTAAAAACAAGCTTTTCATCCAGCAGTTCTACTTCCAACAACTTTATATTAAGAAAATAAATATGGATATATGTATAATTACAGAATATATTCAACAGAAAATTATTAATAATGGAGAAAAACAGTTAACAACCTTAATGTCCAACATTAGGAGACTGGTTCAAAATATGTATGGTACAGTCCGCGTTGGTGGTATAGTGGTGAGCATAGCTGCCCTCCAAAATATGTATGGTACATGCATGCAATGAAATAATAAAAATATAATATCTATTATTTGTAAGAATGAAATATATATTCACTATATATAGATGCTTATTAACATTCATTTTTTAAACATATTTGATGACCTGGAATATGTTATTTTAAATTTAAAACAAGTTACAAAATTGTATATATGTCATGCCTTATTTTCATAAAAAATAAACTAATGTGTAAAAACAAGTGGATACATATTCTCAAGTTAATATGTATTCATATTAACTGGATAGTAGAATTTTTATTTTCCTTATAAAATACTTTTTTAATATTTTATTTTCCCTTCTAAAATTTTACTTTCTATATTCTTAAAATTCTCATGTATATTGCATATTGTATAAGCACAGTTTATATATTATAAAAATAAAAGAAAACTATGTACTATTTTCTGTTCTACATCTTCTCCTTTTGTTTTAATTCTGTCCCTTGTGCATGCCTGTGTTGTATCATAGTTCTTTTGTTAATAGATCCCTGCAATTAGAATATACTAACAGGTCATAATTCATGTAACCTTATTCCAGTAACAAAAGAGACTGTGTCTTATTTTTTCCTATTTGTTGATGCTGCTTTATAGAACTACTCCTTACAACTCATTTTCCTTGTTTGCGCTGTTGCTTTTGAAAACATTTCCAGTCAGGGGAAGACTGGTTCTAAAGCTCCCTGTTTATGGACTTTCCCACTGCCAAGGCTGAAAGCTCACATAAGTTATTTTAGAGCTACTTAAGTTTCAGAAACCTTGAGGATGAAGGAAATGTTCTCTCTCTTAGGGTAATGAAGGTTTCACGGGCTTATTAACATGTCAAATCTGTAGACTTGTTCATATTACATGCCTTTAATTATGTCCATTTAAATTATTCAGTATTGAAGCTGTTTTTAAAAGAGACAACAAAAATCATGATGCCGGCAAAGACTGTCCTCTTCCCAAACTCAGAAGTAGCCTTAGAGAGAATAAAATGGCTGGCAAGCAACTGAGGGTGTGGGGCAGGACACACGCACATGGAAACATCGAGAACATTTAGTTGTGCAATTTCAACCTGTTCAGACATCAGGTGCCAAAGAGTAAGTGAGATCTTTGGAACCAGAAATATTTTCCCATTGAAAGTGACCACCACTGGTTCCATCTGTACAAGTCTTTGTAGCTAATCATTCCCACAGGATCTACTTCTTAAATGAAGAAGGAAAAAAAGGAAAGAATGAGAGAGAGAGGGTGGGGGAAGAAGGAAATAAGGAGAGAAGAGAACATCCTGGCCAGAGTTCTGGATAGCCAGAGTGCTCAGCACTAAAGGGCTGAATACATCAAATAATCTTTTCTTTGCTCTCTTCAGGGAATGATGATAATCATGACACATAAATACTATTCTGTATCAGGCACTTACTAAGAAATTCCCATGGGCTTTTTTATTCACTTGGTGCCAATGCCTGGATTACCTCATTTAATCCTCATAAATGTAAGTGTTGGTGTTATTCTCAGGACAGGATTCACACTGAAAGCACTCACACTGTGGGCTAGGTTAAAGTTACACCCCATTTCTTAAAACAACAACAACAACAATCCAATGGTCTGAGCTGAAATACTGTGTGGTTAGGTGCCAGTAATGATATTAATAACAGTAATAAAAATAATGATTTTGAGTTATTATATGCTAGAAACTCTACTATGCACTTAATATGTATTAACGCATTTAATCATCTCTATAATTTTCTTTATATTTCTAAACCAACAAGGTGTTCAGTTAGGTTTTTGTAAGAAATTTCGGACACCAGTGTGTGAGGATGAAGCCATTGGTGAAAGCAACCACAGAGGGGAGGTAGCCTGAAGCTGAGGAACACCTTTGCTTTTTTGTCAGAAGTTGCAAATCCATGGCTTTCTAATCAACCTCCCACTTCTTTGTCCTCTCATATTTCTGTTTCTCTGTGTTGAGGAGCTCACCCTCTTAGTGTCTGGGCTTGCAGTGCTCCTTCTCATCTTACATTACTAGTAAGATGTTTGGGATTTTCACACCACTGGTACCCGTCTTGGTAGAGATGCTAATGACAAATTTCTGGTGTGTTCTAGGTAGAGGAACTTAATTAAGGCACAGAGTTGCAGGTATTAAGGCCCCTGCTCAGCTGCTTCAGGAAAACCATTCTTTTGCCTCCATGATGCCCAGGAAGGATGATCAGAATGGTCCCGGGAGTGATGTTGGCCCACAGTTTATCTTCTCACGTGCTGACTGAAGGGTTTCTTGTCATGGCTCAACAGCGTTGGTGGCACATCTTCAGTGGGATAGTATCTAGGCATTTTGCAAAGTGTAAGCACTTGGGTAGCATCTTTCTTGTCACCTCCAACTGGTTTTGTGACAGTAGCAAGAACTTCCTTCTTTTTTTTGTTTCAATCCAGGATATAGCTACTGAATACTTCCATTTGTACATGGCCTTTCTGAAATACATAGCCGACCAGGAATATCTGCCAATTCCAGGAAAGGGTTTCCTCTTCTTACTTGTCTTGATCTTGGCGTTACCTTTCTTTTTTTAAAATATATTTTTCTTGATTTCAGAGAGGAAGGTAGAGGGAGAGAAACATCCATGAGAGAGAATAATTGATTGACTGCCTCCTGCATACCCCCTACTGGGAATCAAGCCTGCAACCTGGGCATGTCCCCCTCATTGGAATCAAACCAGAACCCTTGAGTCCACAGGCTAATGCCCTATCCACTGATCCAAATCAGCTGGGGCAGGGCTTACCCTTCTTAACCTTGTCACCAGCATCAGCCTTCTTGGCTCCAGGTTTCTTCTCCTTAGTATCTTGCCTCTCAGCTTCTTCACCTACCATCTTGCTGATGGGAAAGAGGCAATAATTTTCTAGGTAGAGAGTGTTTTCATTAGGATTAATGAGTAAACCATGATACAAAGAGGGTAAGTAACTTTTTGAAGATTACAGAGCTTGCTAGTGGTGGCATTGGGCTAATCATTGACTGCAACCTGATTTCCAAAGACTCACTTGCATATTTAAATAATGTTTGTAAAAATAAATGGGTATTAAATGAAAATTTAGGTTTGTGTCAGAATGTAAAGGGAAAACTTTCAGAAAGAGAACCAGGTACTTCCTGCTAATCTTATCCTTCCTTGGTGTTACTGAGGACTTCAGTGTGGGTAACACCAATAGAGGGTACTGAAGAAGGTTATAGGCATTCGCATAGTACCTGCTACTCTTGTTTCTCCCTGGAAGGTCCCTCAAAACGTTTATGGTGTGTCTCCTTCAGAGTAAGGCTAGAAATCTAGAGTGACTCTACTTTCTCTTTCCCCCAAGGGAGTTAATTTAGAAGAGGGCAGACTTATCTTACCTGTTGCCTTCTAAGATTCAGGTAAAGGTGTGTGGATCTAGTTCCTATGGGTTCAACATTTTACATCCTCCCTCTAGGCTAAAATACCTGCCAAGATGCTCCACTTGCAGGGTCCACAGATGCTGCAGATGCTAGAAAAATCCTTGAGGAAGAGCCTTCCTGAGTCCTTAAAGGTGAGACTGGAACAATCTCAGGGAAACAAGGGTAGCATCTTCTGTGACAGAGTGGGAAAGAGAATGAGCTGTTAATAGGCATCTATTTTTATTTCAGAGAGGAAGGGGGAGATAGAAATAAAAACATCAACAATGAGAGTCATTATCAACTATTTCCTGCATGCTCCCTACTGGGGACTGAGCTGGCAACCAGGGCATGTGTCCTGATCTGGAATCAAACCATGACCTCCTGGTTCATAGGTCAACATTGAGCAACACCAGCTTGTCAGAAATTGACTCACACTACATATCATTTAGTTCACGTCATCTCTTTGAAAGGGAGATATATTATGGAACCTCTTTGTACTTTCTTTACCACTTCATGTGAATAATTCAAAAGTTTAAAAAATAAGGTTTGTTTATCCATGTCATAAAATGTTCTGAAGTCATTAAAATTATTTTTTATTGGAAATGAAATATGACTAGAATGTATTTATTCAATGGAGAAAATATTTCAATATCACATCTAAGTGATTTTTTTAATTTTGCAAAATTTGTTGTGCATGTACATAATAGTAGGCAATCTATTAAAAGATTTTTTTCACCCTTTTAAAAACTGAGATACAATTGACATATATTTCATTAAATGTGTATTAAATTACATAATGAGAGAGTTCATGATTTTTATTCATAAATTTATTAGTCTGAATATTTTACAATGTGAATATATTTATAAAAGATACAATTATTGAGGAAAAACACTAAAACTTAAAATTATTTGGCAGAAATACTCATTTGGCAGAAATATCATAGACCTTTCCATGATAAAATTCCATGATTTCATAGAAATATACCTGCCCTGATCAAACAAGTTACTTTACCATTCTTTGCTAATATGGGGTGGGAAAAGTAGGTTTACAGTTGTGAGTATGTGAAACAGAGTTGACATAACTATGGTAATAATCATAACCTGCATATCTTTTTTCCAGATGAAAAACCATAAACCTACTTTTACCAACCCCTGTATATTGACACTCCCACTTTCTTGTAATGCTGCAGGTTTATGGGACCATCTTCCACATGAACCAGGGAAATCCTTTTAAGCTGAAGGCTCTGGTGGACAAGTGGCCTGATTTTAATACAGTAGTTGTCCGCCCTCAGGAGCAGGTAAGGTGTCAGATATAGTATGACTGTGCATTTATGTGTGTATTTGCTAGGTCTTTATCTGAATTGGCAATGTGAGAGACCTGGCCAAAGAGAAATGAATCCCAGGAATAGTGAACCACCCCTGTCCTCAAAATTTCCACAACCTGGAAAAGAATACAGGTGAATCCAGAGATAAATTAAAGCATGGTCTAAAATGTGCAGCAACAAGAGAATTGACTGAGATAATTATTATCTAACCACTGTGCTGTACACCTGAAACTAATATAAAATAATATTGAATATCAACTGTAATTGAAAAGTAAACTTAAAAATAAGAAGTAACATGCGTGGAAAGCTGATTAAAACTATATATGGTACATTTTCTTTTTTAAATATATTTTTATTGATTTCAGAGAATAAGGGAGAGGGAGAGATAGATAAACCAAAGATAAGAGAGAATCATTGATTGACTGCCTCCTGCATGCCCCTCACTGGGGATCTATCACACAACCTAGGCATGTACCTGATTAGGAATGGAACCATGACCTCCTGGTTCATAGGTCAATGCTCAACCACTGAGTTAGGCTATATGGTACTTTTTCATACTCATTCATTGTTTTAATTTGTTTTCAAGAAAGGGCCCCAAATAACATTCTGGTGATGCTGACAAGCAAGCATCCTTCATTATTTCTTGCATCTAGTTTATGGAAAGAAAGACACCCAATGAAAGGTTGTGCTAATGTAAGATTATGTTGAGGACATAGACAAAAGGCTGATTTTTGGTTCAAGATATTAAAGCAACATTAATCAGACTTGACATCTTTATTGTTATGAATCAAACACTTTTGACTCTTAATCCATGGGGGGATTATTTCCTATCTTTTAAAAATACCAACCTTGAGAAAACCAAGATGGCAGCATATGTAAACATCTATACTTGCTGCATCTCACAAGCACATCAAAATTACAACTACAAAGCAGAACAACTACCACCAAGAACCACGGGGAAAGCTGGTTGAGTGGAAATTCCACAACTAGAGAAGTGAAGAAAGCACATTGGAACTGGTAAGGGGTGCAGAGGCGTAGGAAGTGCTGGCATCTGGATGTACTGCTCTTTTTATCAGGAAGGAGATATAAGCTGCTGCTTGCTCTGAACTCAAGTTCTGGGCAAGACTCTGGGAGACCCAGACACATATGGGGAGAAATTGGATTATCTAGCATCAGAACAGGAATAGGAGGGCAGCTTTTTCTCAGAGGGGTAGGACGCAGAGACAAAGGGACCTCTCCAGTGCAGGGCTGACTGACAGCCATTGCTGTTTGCTCCACCCTGGTGATTCCCTGAGACCCCACTCCACCCAATTTACAATGTTAAATTCCAAATTGATCATTTTTGTTTGAAATTTTAAAGTAATAGTTTATTCAGGATATTTCTTTATTGTTAGTTGAATAAAAAAGTCCTTGAGTTACACCAACAGGAAAACCTAATATTTTAGTACTTTAAAATATCATAGTATAATTGAACACTGACAACCACATATGGCAGTCACAAACTACAATTATTTTGGTTGATTCTACTTTTCCCAACCCAAACAGGAGATGGTAGATGACCTTGATCACTACACCAATACTTACCAAATCTACTCCAAAGACCCCAAGAATTGTCATCAATTCCTTGGCTCACCAAGAGTCATCAACTGGAAACAACATTTGCAGATTCAAAGTAAGGGTACTGGAATATGTGCCAGTTGCTGGGATTTTCCATGTCTATACTTTTAGAGTCACTTTTCATTTCCAATAACACCCCTACATCCCATATATCTTTACTTCAAGCCCCAGACTACTTGGTCTGCTATCCATTCTCTCTCTCTCTCTCTCTCTCTCTCTCTCTCTCTCTCTCTCTCTCTCTCCTTCCCTCCCTCTCTCCTGCCACCACCATCACAGTGAATTAGAACCTGAAAATTGCAATGCATGGGGTTTGCAAAGAAATAATAATAAGCAATATAATTCCTTACTAACTAAGGACTTATGATTTATTTTCCAAGATCTATTAAAGATGATGAGTATAGGAGCAGAACTTCCCCTCTGTCTCATTTGCTTTATCATTCTATTATATTTATAAAGTAGAAATCTAGTGGTTTCTGAGCTCATACTACCTAAGATGGAGATGCTGTTAAGCCTATTATTAGTTATGTAATCTAGGGTAAGTAACAACTTGTCTGTGGATCAGTTTCCTTCTGGCTAAAAATGAGGATTATAATAGTATTTAAAACATAGAGCCTTTGAACAATTAAATGAGATCTTGAATGAGAAGTGCTTGGCACCCTCTATGTCTAGTTTTATCATTCAGTTTTCAAACCATCATGACACAGTGGCTTACAATAGGAATAATTTATTAGCTCACAATTTGGTGGGGTAGCAATCTATATTTTAAAATATATTTTTGTTGATTTCATAGATGCAGAGACATCAATGATGAGAGAGAATCATTGATTGTCTGACTCTTGCACACCTCCACTGGGGATGGAGCCCGCAACCTGAGCCTGTACCCTGACAGAGAATAGAACTGTGACCTCCTTGTTCATAGGTTCAACCACTGAACCATGCCAGTGAGCAATTTAGATGGGACTCATCTGGGTGATTCTTCAGCTAGTCCTCCCCCCCTCCCCCAGATTTATCCATGTGGCTGCTATCCACAGGAGGTTGTCTATGAGCTGGTAGGACTAGTTAGCCACAGACCTAGGGCTGGTTGTTGTTGGCTTTGCTTGTGCTGGCAGAAATGGATTGGACAACGTATAGAAGTCACAGGGTTTTTAAAAGCAGAGAGAGAAGGCAAGAAAAAGAAAATTAAAAAAGAGGACGAGATTCAGTGTACCATCCCTTTTCAAGCTTCTTGTTAAATTACATTTACTATAATTGCACTGGCTAAAACAAGTTTCATGGTTAAGCCCAGAGTCATATCAGGAGGAAAAATCAGGGTAGTGAGGGAAATGCAACCCTCTCAAAACCATTGCAGCAACAACCTACTGCATGCGGCACATAGGCTTGTTTGATACATTTTGATTATCATGTTTATACCTCATCACCTTTGATAGTCGTGATTGAACTGTGTTGTCCCAATTTTTAATTTAAAAAATGTAGGAATGACTTAGCCTCAATCCTATAGAGGCCATGTCAGGATTGAATATGGGTTTCAAGTACTCTAAACCACAAACTTTACAGCCCCTAGGCAACATAGAAATAAAGAGTGATACCTCATCCTATTCCTATTTTCTTCACCTAGGTTCACAGTCCAACTTGAATGAGGTGATAGAAAATCTTGTAGCTGTAAAGCACAGTCAGGTAAAGCGAACACAATGCTTCCTCTATATGAACCTTCTGACAGCAAAGAAATTGGCTCCTTCCCTGCTGAATGCAAAGAAGTTACTGCCAAGTGAGAGCACACATGATTCCATGTAAGTCTGACAGCAGCCATTCTGCACTGCTCGTATCTCTTAGAGCCTATGCATTCATTTTCTGACTTCTGTGAAAAATGGCCTCAAAGTGGGGTGGGTTGGAACCACAGTAATTTATTCTCTGAAGTCAAGGTGTCAGCAAGCCATTGTTCTCTTCAAAGCCTCTAGGAGAGAGTCCTTCCTAGCCTCTTCCAGCTTCCAGTGGCTCTAAGCATTCTTTGGCTTGTGGCTGAATCACTCAAGTCTCTGATGTTGTGCTCACATGGCTTTCTCCTCTCTGTGTGTCTTTTATTCTGTCTGGTATAAGGATTGTCTTTGGATTTAAGGTCCAGGATGATTTCATCTTGAGAGCTTTAATCTGTGTACATCTGCAAATACCCTTTTTGAAATAAGGTCATGTTTTCAGGTTCCAGGTGGGAATATATTTGAGTGGACACACCATTCAGCAAACTTTACCTCCCAACTTCTCTTCCAGTTTTTGCTTACATTCCTTATAACCCATTTTCTGCAAACTAATCTTTTAAAAAACAAAAATTAGAACATGTCCCTCTCCTCTTAAAAGATCTAGTATTCCTGTCTCCCCTGGAAATAATTCTGAACTCCTTCATGGCCCTACGAGAGCCAGCATTCATTTACCTTTTAGACCTCATCTCCCTTGCTTACTTGCCCAGCAACATAGTCTTCCTCTCACTGTTGATCATTGAAAAATAAGACCCTTTCAATCAGCTCTTCCCTCTGTCTAAATGTTAGGCCCTAAAGCGTCTTTCCTCCCATACTACTCATTCTTTACTGTCATGACTTCTTTTGTTATTCAGGACTTCTCAAATGGCACAGAGTCCTGATTATACCATCCACCTGAAGTCACTTCCCAGTTATTTTCCACATATGACTCAGTTTTATATTTTTTATGGCATTGATGATTATTTGTAACTAGAGGCCCAGAGTATGAAATTTGTGCATGAGTGTGTGTGTCCCTTATCCCAGCCTGTACTCTCTCCAATCTGGGATCCCTCTCACAATTCAGGACTGCTGGCTCCCAACTATTCACCTGCCTGCCTTTCTGATTGCCTCTAACCACTTCTGCCTACCAGCCTGATCACCCCCTAACCACTCTGCTGCCAGCCTAATTGATACCTAACTGCTCCCCTGTCAGCCTGTTTACCCCTAACTGCCCTCCCCTGCTGGTCTGGTCACCTCTAACTGCCCTCCGCTGCAGGCCTGGTCACACCTAACTGCCCTCCCCTGCTGGCTTGATCGCCCCCAACTGCCCTCCCTTGTAGGCCTAGTACCTCTCAACTGCCCTCTCCTGCTGGCCATCTTGTGGTGGCCATGTTGTGTCCACATGGGGGCAGGATCTTTGACCACATGGGGGCAGCCATCTTGTGTGTTGGAGTGATAGTCAATTTGCATATTATCCTTTTATTAGAAAGAATTAGATAGGATAGAGGCCTGGTGCATGCATGGGAGCTGGCTTGTTTACCCTGAAGGGTGTCCCGGATCAGAGTGGGGGTTCCCTTGAGGTGTGGGGTGACCTGGTCAAGGGGCCTGTGGTGGTTTGAAGGCCGGCCATGCCCCCCTGGTGACTCAAGTGGAAGCCCTGGTATCTGGGATTTATTTATCTTCTATAATTGAAACTTTGCAGCCTTGAGCAAAGTCAAGCCTCCTGCTAGCTCCATGGCCACAGTCATTTTTGTTAGGATTTACTTATCTTCTATAATTGAAACTTTGTAGCCTTGAGCAGAGGCCTGGGCTTGCCAGGGCAAGTGGAAAACTTGGCTTCCTCCATTGCTGGGGAAACTCAAGCCTCCTGCTCTCTCCGTGGCCATAGACATCTTGGTTGGGTTAATTTTCATATTTGCTCCTGATTGGCTGGTGTGCATGGCTTGCTAGTGTAGCAATGGTATGGTCAATTTGCATATTGCTCTTTTATTAGATGGGATTAGCTAACTTAGTTAACTTAAATACTTATTTGATGTTTAAACTTTGCACAACAATATTTTAACTACAGACACCTTCTCTGTCTTGTTTAATGATAGTTTTAATAGCTATAACAGTGGCTGGTATGTAGTAAGCACTTTACAAATATGTGTTTAGTGAATTTGTTTCACAGAACAAAAGATTTCCAATAAAGAGAATTTCAACCAACTATGCATTTTCTCCCATTAGTGCTTTACCAAACACTGAAGAGAATTCAAAAGTGATGGCAGAGATTTGACTTAGAGACAGACACTCAAACCCTTGTTCCTTTCTGTGTTAATATGCTTGGAAAAGCTTTATTCACATGGCATAAAAAATTCCACCTTAAAGATACCCCCAAATCTACCAACTGATTTGACTTTCATGTCCATTCCATGAGATAGACAAGGTAGGAGATATTATCTGTCTCCTGCCAGAAACCAGGCTCAGATGAAAGAAAAAAAAAATTACTTGTTCAGGTCACATAGAAGGTCAAGGCATAACTGGGCCTTGAGTCTTCATCTTCTAGTTTTATATTGTGGGTTCTTTCCAAGACACTTGCTGAAGCCCTTTATACCATAGCAGAAGCCTTCAGACTTCAGTGTTCTGTACCTCAGGGGCTGCCTGCACTCCACATCACTGCCCCTCTCTGGACTTGAGCTTCCCCACAGTGGTCAAGGGCCCTCTGCCACCAACATCCTAAGAGTCCATGATTCTCAGCTCTTGTTTTACCTACAGCTCATTAACATGTGCATCGGGGAACTTGTTTAATTTCTTGGAAATATTTGACTTCTAGGCAAAATGAGAATAATAATAATAATTACCCTATCTACTTGGAAGGTGATGGCCAGGGCCAAATAAAACAATTGCAGCTAATTTCGGTAAGGTGCTTACTATCTGCCAGGTACTGGTTCTGAGCTTTGATATCCATGGACTCATGTAAGCCTTATAATGATTCTGGGAGAGAGGTGTTATTATCATCCCTAGTTATTAGATGACAAAATAAAGGAAATGAGGGATTAAGTAATCAGCCCCAAATCACACAAGTAGACAGTTGATAAACCTAGGCACAGCACAAACCCTTAAATGTATGTCTAATTGCCTCATGACACTGTCTGTGTGGAAACAAATGCAATGCAATGTGTATGATATTTGGGCTGTTCTTTTTCCTTGCTCCCCATAGCAACCAAGAGATGTTTAAATTCTCATCCCTGGATGTCACACATGCTGCCCTGGTGAATAAATTCTGGCATTTTGGCGGCAATGAGAGGAGCCAGAGATTCATTGAGCACTGTATCCAGACCTTTCCCTCCTTCTGTCTGTTGGGACCCGAGGGGACCCCTGTGTCCTGGACCATGATGGATCAGACAGGAGAGCTGCGGATGGCAGGCACTGTGCCTGAGTACCGAGGACACCATCTCATTTATCATGTCATCTGTGCCCAGATCCAGGCTCTGGGGAAACTTGGCTTCCCCTTGTATTCCCATGTGGATAAAGCCAACCACATCATGCAAAGAATGTGCTTCAAAATCCAGAGTTTCCGTATGCCCTGTGACTGGAACCAGTGGCAATGTGTGCCTCTGTGATAAGACAGTGTTAGGTGAGCTGGTCTTGTAGCAGGAGGAACCTGTGATGAATGGACAGAAATAATACATTGTCATAATGAAGTGGACTCTAAGGACAGCCTCAACCTTTATACTCTACTTTCCTAGGCTCCCCTTAGCTTTCTTTTAGGAAGTTACCCAGCCAGCATAGCTTCTACATTTCCAGGATCTTCCTCACACTTAATATCAGTTGCACACATTTTGTTATGTTATCCTCCCTGGAACTCTTGCTCATTGATTGACCCTTGCCAATTTGCCAGGAGGTGATACTATCTGGTGGGTTCTATATTTTTTCCCCTCTGGCTTTCTTTTTTTTTTTAAATGTTGGCAGGAGAGTGGTCTGTCTTCTCAGCAGGTCATCTTCCCCAAGTCACATCTCAAGTCTTATAATCACGTGAAACATGACACACATACACACACTACCATATAACTTGAGGGTGTTATGCAAATGAGTAAGTCAGATGGAGAAAGACAAATGTTATATAATTTCATTCATATGTGGAACAAAACTTGTGGACACAAACTGCAAATTGGTGTTTATCTATTGGAAACAGGGGGCAAAACAGTAAATGGGGTCAATTGTACAGTGACAGAGGAAAATAAATCTTTCACAGTGAGCATGCTGTAGTGTATACAAATGTTGAATTTTAATGTTGTACACCTGACACTCATATAATGTTATAAACCAATGTTACTGCAAGAGAGAGAGAGAGAGAGAGAGAGAGAGAGAGAGAGAGAGAGAGAGAGAGAGAGAGAGAAAGAGAGAGAGAATATGAGTGCCTGGTGAGAATACCGTATGTTGGAATTTACACATACCGTGAATAGGCCCTGTGCTGATTAACATACAATGGTGAACAAAACAGATAATTCTTAATTGTTTGGATCTAATAAATCAATCACCTAAGGAAAGAAATGGAGATCACAAGTACAATCACAACAATATAGTCTTAGAAATTTGCAGTGCTATAAAGAAAAAAGTGAAAGTTGCTACAAATTTGAATCTCAATTGACTTCAGGAGGTGGGAGAAGGCTCCTGTTAGAAAAAGAGGGGAAGCATATTCTAAGCAATGTGTCAGAAAGGAGATGGGATTTTAAGAGTCTTAGTTTTACTCTGAAGTAGCCATGACTCACTCGGGTAAATTACTTAAACACCTAACCACTGTCCTGCCTCTCTTACAGATGTGTTCACCAGCAAATGATTTGCTTTCTGTCAGGGTGTGCTATGACCTGTAAGCATTCATAATCTTATTCTTTGAAGTAAATGCTAATCAAAAACTCCTGACCCCTTCCTACAACTTCATGGTATCTAGGGGATCTCAACAGGTCTGAAAACGATATTATCCTATGTCAAATTGAGTCACGTCTCCTCTTCAATTTCTCACCCTTCCCACCTACTCCCATCTCTTTATCCATTCTCTTTTAACTGCCATATCTTTTCTATTTTTTTATCTTTATTGTTGAAAGTATTACATATGTCCTCCTTTTCCCCCCATTAGCCCGCTCCAGTTGCCCCTGCCCCTCGTCCAATTATTCACCACTTAATTGTCCTTTGTTCATGTCCATGGCTTATACATATACCAGTATACATACAAGGTCTTTGGTTGGTTACCTCCACCCACCTACCCTCTCTGCCTTCCCTCTGAGATTCTGCATTTTGTTGCATGCTCCCATGTCTCTGGTTTCTCTCTGTTCATCAGTTTATTTTTGTTCATTAGATTCCACAGATGAGGGAGTTCATGTGATACTTCTCTTTCTTTGACTGACTTATTTCACTTATCATGACACTCTCTGTGTCCCTCCATGATTAACTGCCATATCTTTAAAAGAACACATTATTCAAAGCCAACCTCCAAAGCTTCTCCTATCGTAGAGCCTTTTTTAAAATGTCCAACTTGAAAATGATTTCTTTCTCCTAAGAACTCCTCCAGCATTTTACCCACACCTTTCTGAGGGACTTAATACCATCTAGTCTTCTTTCCTTAAAATAGTTTTTGCAAAGCTGCTGGCATTGGAAGGTAATTGGCCTTAAAGGAAAGGTTGTCTTGCTCCTGGATGTCTGAGAGCCGATACTGTGAAGTAAGGAGCCCTGGTGACCTGGAACTGGGGGGAAGCAGTTGAAAAGGACTCTGTTGAGGCCATTTCCTTTCTTAATGGTATAATTAAATTCATTCATTAATTTTTATTCATTCTATATTATAATTTGCTAAAGGGGAGATCAAAGAGTCTTCTAGAAAGAAAAAGACCTAGAAAAGAAGGATTAAGGATGAGATAGAGTGCAAAGAAGTGATTTAAAAAATTCCTCCAGAGGCCATGTCCTTTTCCAGGGATGGCAGAAGTGACTTCAGGTGCCATCAGTGGGAGTCGCCTATAAAAATCCTTTCCTTCATAAAAGCAAGAATACAGGGAAATTGTCAAAAGAAACTTAAAAAAATCTTTATTGTTGAGAGTATTGCACATGGCCCCTCTTTTTCTCCCATTGTCCCCCTTCACACAGTTCCCAACCCACCCCAGGCCTTTACGACCCTAACTGCCTGTGTCCATAGGTAAGATCTGTGGTTAATCTCTTTCCCTTCCACCGCTCCACTTCCCTCTGAGATTCATCAGTCTATCTTCAGAACTCTAAAAATTAACCAAAGGCATGCAACAACCCAAGGAGCATCTTATTTAATAAAGAATAATATTCAAATTAACCATCACTCACTCTGCTACACCCATAAGCCATGCCCACAAGCTATGCTCACAAGCCAATCAGAAACAAATATGCAAATAAGCCCAACTAAGATGGCTATGGCCACAGAGAGCAGGAGGGAGGCTTGGGTTTCCCCAGCAATAGAGGAAGCCAAGCTTTCCATCTGCCCTTGCCAGCCTAGGCTACAAAGTTTCAATGATAGAAGATACATAAATCCAAACAGAAATGGCTGCAGCCATGGAGCTGGAAAGAGGAAGAGGCTATGGTTTCCCCTGGCAATGGAGGAAGCCAAGCTTTCCGCACATCCTGGCCGGCCCAGGCCTCTGCTTAAGGCTACAAAGTTCCAATTATAGAAGATACATAAATCCCAACAAAATGGCTGCTGCCATGGAGCAAGCAGAAGTTGTAGAAAATAAATAAATCTGATACCAGGGCCTCCACTTGGGTTGCCAGGGGTCGTGGTTGGCCTGCAAACCACCACAGGACCCTCGCCCAGGCTGTCCCATACCCCAAGAGAATCCCCACCCTGATTCAGGACACCCTTCAGGGCAAACCAGCCAGCCCCACTCATGCACCAGGCCTCTATCCTATCTAATAGAAGAGTAATATGCAGATTGACCATCACTTCAACACACAAGATGGCTGCCCCCATGTAGTCAAAGATGACTGCTCCCATGTGGACACAAGGTGGCCACCACAAGAAGGCCAGCAGGGGAGGGCAGTTGGGAGAAAGGGCAGGCAGTTGTGAGTGATCAGGCCAGCAGGGGATGGCAGGTGGGAGGAACCAGGCCTGCAAAGGAGGGCAGATGGGGGCATTCAAACCTACAGGGGAGGGCAGTTAGGGGTGACCAGGCCAGCAGAGGAGAGCAGTTAGGGGCAAACAGGCTGGCAGCAGAGTGGTTAGGGTGTGATCAGGCTGGCAGGCAGAAGCAGTTAGGGGCAATCAGGAAGGCAGGCAGGCGAGCATTTGGGAGCCAGTAGTCCTGGATTGTAAGAGGGATGTCTGCCTACCCATTTAAGCCCAATCCTACTTGAAAATATGACACACATACACACACACACACACACACACACACACACACACACACACACCATTTAACTTGAGGGTGTTATGTTTAAGCCCAATCCAAGTAGGACATTCTAAATGGGCAGTCTGACATCCCTTGAGGGGTCCCAGATTGGAGAGGGTGAGATTGGGGTTAGGGACACACACCCGCACCCCCCTCTCCCCCGTTGCATGAATTTTATGCATCAGGCCTCTAGTTTATTCAAGAAAATGGTTGAATCCTAGTAAGAACAGTGAGCTTTATGGTGCTGTAACTTGCCCTCAGCATCCTTTCCCCCAGCTTTTCAGGCTTGTAATCCTGGTGAAAACCAGGATTGTAATCCTGGTGAAACAGCCTTGTAATCCTGGTGAAAACCAGGAGCATAGGAGCCACGGAGAACCCCCAAAACCAGCATTCTCAGAGGGTTCTTCTTTATTTGATCTCCAGCAGTTCCCTACAAACCCCTACTCTCAGGGCTTTTCTTTATAGGATCTGAGTCTTATAAACATATCTAGGAATCTAGAAGACTGCATGTATATAGGAATATGCACATACTTGGGGCTGTGTGCATGCCATAAAATGATAGCGAAGGATCTAAGCTCTCACCTCTGCTTGGCCTCGAGGCTCTCCACACACAGAAAGTGAAGGTTAAGGCGGAATTGGACTGCCTTTCTATACATTGAAAGCTTCCCTCTGGCCACCCAGGTCCAGGGCTTTTCTCACAGCCCCGACTTCTTCGTCTGGAAGGATATCCAGTCTAATTAGCATATTACGTTTTTATTATTAAAGATGTGTCTTTTTAACCACAATTAGAAGGGAGGGGAGTCATTCAGTTTCACAAAACAGCCTGCAAGGTGGTGTGTCTGTGTGGAACCGAAGCACCCATCCTAATTGACTGTCTTAGCTTGCAGGTGTTCCTGGATCATTGGGATAAGTGGGCTAGCTGTCTCCATTCCTCTTAAGCTGGGCATATGAGCAGGAAATTAAAGAAAACAGTCAATTGTGTTCAGACTTGCTTATAAAGACTTAATAATATTCCTTTCACTTTTCTTGTGGATTTTAATAAATAATCAAAGGAAGTGTTTTATGTTAAAAAAAAAAAAAAAAAAAAAGTCTGGAGAACGAAACCTTCTGACTTCACATCTGCCACATGGAATTGGTTTAAAGTGGCCGGGGCAGGCAACAACTGCGGTCTGCCCTGCCCTCTGCTGGTAGGTGATGACAATGTAGAGAGGATGACAATGTTC